CCCCGGGGCTGAGTGGAGAGATCTGCAGAGCAGGTAGAGAGGAGGAGAAGAGAGGGCAAGAGAAGAAAGATACTTCATGTGACATCAATAAGGATAACATCATCACAGAGACTGGACTTCTGCTGATTGATGCTGGCAGCCGAAAGAAAGAAAGAGGACGGAGGGTGGGCAAGGGGATTGGGATTCAATGTGTATGTGTGTGTTTGCTTGTGTATGAGTGGCATGGGAATTTGTAGATTGTTTGTGTATGTGCATGTATGTGTGTGTGTGTGTGTGTGTGTGTGTGTGTGTGTGTGTGTGTGTGTGTGTGTGTGTGTGTGTGTGTGTGTGTGTTGTCTCATCCAGCATGTGTGTCTCTATGATGTCAGTAGTCTCAGTCAGCACTACTGAAGGTGGCGTTATTGCTGGTGTTTTGCCTCTGTCGTAGCACCGGCTCTGCTTCCCAAAGCGATTGGGATTCAGAGAGGAGAGGCTAACGAGTACAGGAGGCTGACAGACTGAACTCTGAGCACCACTGAGGATAAAGTGAGAGGATCAGTGAGTCGGCGCCACTCACACAGAGACAAGAGGCAGGCTTCTTTAAAAACGTTTCTTTGATGTCAGTGGTTTGTCAGAAAGCTTGGCGGGAAGAGAGGAGGGGACCAGAGGTCTCAGGTCAAGGTTGGGATCTGAACATTGAAGTTAGACCTTTTTCTAACTAATCTTGAAGTTGGGACTTGCTCTGGGTCTGTTTTGTCTTTGCATTGATTTGTCTGAGCTCTATTGACGTTGTAATGTTTCAAACTGTCCTGCCAACAAGGGAGTTCTGAAAGTGTCCACAGCTAGATTTGGAACAGCTTTTATTGAGCATCAGTAGCGCTTTAGTTGGCAGATACTTCCTACAGCTGTTTCACAGTAAAAGTTTTACACTGGTAACCCCTGTGCTTTTTACATGTTGATTTCTTTAGACTACTGGCAGTTTCTTAGTCCAGTTTGATCTCTGTGTGAAACAAAGAAATGTGTTCAATCGTACACACTCAGTTTATACAGCAGTAAAGCAACCAAAGAAGGGTTTTGGCTAGAAATGTAATTATGTCCCTGTGGAAGTGCTAAGAAAGTGTTTGCCAACATGACGGCTTTTGCTTCCACAAGTTGACATATTTCAGTTTAAAACAGAATTCTGCAGCACACACTGTTCCACAGTGGGCAGGTTAGACCAAAACAAACTCAGAAAGTGAGTCAGCGTTATTGTGAGCTGTCACAGAGTTGGGCTTCTTCGAAATGAATACATTCCACCGACTGTGGCTTTTCAAGAAAAGGGAACAGGGATTGAATGATTTTGAAAATCTGCAATGGAATTTTAATGTTGTACCTGTACACAACGAAGTGTGTGAAGAAAAATGTTTTTTTTCAAGAAGTTGTAGTTAACTTTTTTGTTTGTTTGTATGTTAACACTGTTGTTTGTGGGTTTTAGTGAAACTGTCGTACCTTGATGGAGCGTCACATTAGATGTCCAGACTGCTTAGCAAACCATTTCACTGCAGCTCACTCAGCTAATTTATTCCATCCTGGGGCTTGTGTTTAAACTGCAGAAAAAAGGCTCAGCTCATGGGCAGAGTGGTGTTTGATCATTTTGAAGAGAACAAGACTTGTTGGAGTCCAAGCCAGAGTCCAGTTTAATTATTGCAGATTCATATGTGGAGGTTTTATAACAGTCAGCACGACCAATGTTTGCAGACAGAGAACAGTGTTTGCACAGAGCACAGATTTAAAGTCGCTTTGATTTACTTTCTTGTGATTGTCAGCCTGTGTGGAGCTGAATTGTCTCGCTGTGGTAAACGCTGCTAATTTACTACAGCAGGCAGCGTAAAGACAAACTGTCCAAATCCAACGCAAATATTGTTTGACCTCCAGGCAGGTAGGGCACAGCAGCAGAGATTTGTGTTTGTTGTGAATCATATCCCTGCAGGAGCTGCAGCAGATGCAGAAGCAGCTGGTTATTTTAGCCCCAAATTTACTCAAATTGAATTCATCCGCTGGGTATCGCACCCTCTGCTACAGTTGGTATCTGGACTGCTCCCTGCTTCCTCTCTATTGAGGAAGTGACTGAAAGGCCTCTCTGTTTTCCCTAGAAACATTATGTGTGTTTCCATCCACCTGTTTTTATGTGCATTTTCAATTTGCGCATCAAAAATGCAAGGCAGAAAATTACTGTTTTTATACTTGGCTGAGGTGGAAAAGGGAGTGTGTTGATAACAGCAAAATGCAATGCTGAATAAATCACAACATATATAAAGTATGTGACTTACTCGTCACTAAGGAGACGAAAACATCAAATTAATACATGAATTAAGCTTGATATATTTTTTAAGCATCATTTTGATTCACTTCAGGTTCAACTGATGCTCTGTTAATTACATCATCTAGTTACATCCTCTTCTTCTGCAGTGGTTTAATGGCACCTGAGTGAAGAGCACCACTAGCTGTTTATCTCCAAGCACTCAACTCCTAATATTTGCATAACCGTAGTGGATGGAAACACATTCATTTGCATGTCCTTTTTGCAGATTTTCTGGAAATAGGGTTAAAATTTGAGCAACATTTGGATGGAAACCTGCTGGCAGTAGAGCTGAGTCTATCTCCCTCTGTTTTACTGCTGAGGCGTTAATCCTCTGTCTCTGCTCCCTTTTAAGGGTAAGAGGGGAGAGAAAGAGGGATGTATGGCCGTGGGAGGTGGCTGCTAAAACAACATGACAGATCAAACCATCCTCTTTGTCCCAAGTCTCTGTTGAACTTAACTGTCCAACAGCTTGAGTTCAGGCCTTGGTGAATGTCGTGCAGCCTGATGAGACCGTCAGCTCACATACACTCTTAATTTCTCTCTTTCACACACACTTTCTCCCTCCTCCCGCTCTCCTGTTTGTTTACTTGCCCCCCGATGGGATGTGGCTCGAATTTGCGGTGTGTTTTTCTGTGTGTGTGTGTAAGAGAGCCCTATGTGTGTTCATTTGTGTGCATGTGCCCTCGCACTTTACGACTTCTCATCATGGCGAAAGTCGCAGAAGGAAACCACAACAGATACAAACTTCTGAGAGGCGGCGTCTATAAAGGAGCAAACGTCTCGCTTCCACGAAAAAGAAAAGAGCGGGAGAGAAATGCTTTTAATTGAGAGCGGTGTGTGAGGTAAATGAGGGGAAAAAAGGATTATTTCATCATGAGAAATGATTAAGTTTTATGAGGGAATTCCTTGGGAAATGTCTACCATTCAAGATGCTGAGAAGCCTCCAAATCCAAAAGATCTTAAAGTCCTATCACGCAGTTTAACTGACAGGAAGTATAGCACATAAACCACAAGAAAATAATGTCAAAATACATTTTTACCACTTTAACATGAACCTTACATCTGAATTTATTCTATTTTTACTGTGGGGCTCTTTTTAAGTGATCAACCCCCCCACCCTCATGGAAGATCTTACATTTCTGAGGGGATTATCACCCTTCGAATGCCTGTATTGCTTTTTTTATGTTTTTGTTTCAGGCAGCAGTCAGTGTCTTTATATGGGCTGGTTGATTTTTTTGGTCCCAGAATCCCAATTCAAGCCTAGCAGGGAGAAAGATGTTCCTCCATGGCTGTCCGTAGAAATTTGTATCAAACGCACCCTCCGCACGGTGGGAGGAACTGGATCCCTTTTCTAGTTCATGTGGTGGTTTCTCAGGTGTCTGTCTGGTTCCGAGTGAGAGGGGTCTGGAAGGGAACCTTAGAAAGTTTGGTGATTGGAGGAAAATAACTGTATAGGCGAAGTTTTATGATAGGAGATGGAGGACAGCCCTTCAACCTTCACAGCTTCTTCTATCTTCAGTTGTAAAAGAACTTGATTCTTTCAGTAATATGTCTGCATTCGTAAGCCAAGCCCTTGGAGGCCAAATGTGATTCACGTCTTTCGTCTCCGGAGCCCAGAGAAACCGCAGCAGCTGTTGAGACCGCTCTGTCGCCGGACGGACAAAGCATTGCTTATCAGTCGGCTTATGGACTGAATGAAAGACAAAGCGGCTGTTAAGAGGTTTAGGTGACAATACAAAAGATTATCCGACATGCTGCTCTTCCGGATTCAGAAACAAAGTTGTGGGAGTGAATCGACCTGTTATAGCAAATGTCTTAAATGATATCATAGAAGGATTCTGTTTTAAGATTGTTCTGACTTGTGTTGAGAAGAAAACTCGGCTCGTTCCTTTACTCCATCAGTGTACAGTATATTTTGTTATTTAACTTCTCAACACCGGCCCATCTGCCCTTCTCTTTGCTTCCTATGGATCTGGATTTTCTCTCTTTGTGCTTTTCAGCAATAAACAACCAACAACGTTGGTTGTTTTTGAAAGTTTGGAACTCGAACTTACCCATTAAGTGATTCAATGTCATACAATATGTACAAAGCAATGGAAGGTTCACCTTTTAAAATTGTTCCTATATTACCACTTCACCTATCCCTCAAACAACCCCGTGCCTAGCCCTCTCGCCTCCCATCCTCAGTCTTGGTCACTCATGCACAGCACTGGGTGTATTACAAAAGTATACAAATATCCAACATTGGAAAGAAATAAAGCAGAACTTACAGTAAAATAGCAATTGTCAGTACAGGGGCTGGAAGAAAATATGTAAATTAGATTAAAAATCAACTCTAGGTCCCACTTAAACTGTATCTCTGCATCTCCCACATTCTCAGATCTAGACTTTGTCAGATGACAGAAAGAGATTATAGGTTTGCAGTGGAAGGAGAATAGAGCTGAGGATCCTCTCAGATCATAAAATTATTAACAATGTTTGGCTGCAAAATATCTGACATTCAACCTTTAGTGATGCTGCTGTGCGCTCAATTAAAAGATAAGTCGCACTAAATGGCCGATAAATCTGCTGCACCAAAAACTGTAAAACCTCACAGTGGTCTCACACACACATACACACCTCGTCACTGTCTCTGTTTCTCACACACACACTTACAGGATGTTTGTTTTTGTTGTTGCAGATTTACACAGACTGGGCCAATCATTACCTGGCCAAGTCTGGCTGTCCACGCCTCATCAAGGACCTGAGCCAGGACGTCACCGATGGAGTCCTGCTGGCACAGATCATCCAGATCATAGGTAGGCATCCACACACACGCACGCATGCACGCACACACACACACACACACACACACACACACACACACACACACACACACACACACACAGACACACCTGTGTCCATCTATTCTCTATTATCTACTGCTGTATCTATTACTCTTATTATTTCTAGCTTTCTCTTTCTCTTTCTGCTCAAGTCATTCAGTTCACACCTTCAGTACTTTCACCTGTAATGTGCATAATTATCCTGACAGAGCAGAAAGTCCCGCTTCTGATACCAAAGCAGTATCATGTCTTACTTCAGGTATAACTGTCAACTTTTAAAAGAAATATGAATAAAGCACAGATGAATAAATCAGCAGTTATCAGCAGTAATAAAACACTGCCTGTGTGTATAATTCATTCTGTCTGGTAGACGAAGCGACCACCCACATACACACACACTCTATGTTTGGTCTTTGTTGTGGTGAGTTGGAGGGAAGCTGTTCCTCAGTCTGATGCAGTATTTGGGCCAAATCGCAGCAGCTCTCTCTTGCTTTGGGTGCTGGGCGAGCTACAGCGGCAGCAGCAGAGATCTGTGGCTCTGACACCCAGGGGTGCGGAGGCATGTGTCTCCCATTGGGATCCCAGAGAGAGTTCACTTCTCTTTCTCTTCCTGTCTGTCTGCCTGTCTCTCCCCTTTTATGTCTCTCTTCCTTTCTGGCGCTCTGCTTCCCGTCGTCTCTCTCTCCCTCACACTTGAACTTTTTCTAGGTCTCTCTCTCTTTGTCTCTCTCAACCCTAATGTCTTTCATTTCTCTCTCTGATCTTACTTTTTGTCCTCTTTTTCTCCTGTCTCGCACTTTCTCTCACCAGTGTTGGGCAACAACATATTACAGTAATGTGATTACCCTTAGAGTAGTTTAAGGGATTACAATTAAAATGCAGTAATAGCATTAGTTACTAATCTCTGTTACTTTGATTGTTAGAGTTAGTTAGACAGAGGTTGATTGACTGTCTTGTGGACAGACTGGTAAGAGACATGTCAGCTTGGTGCAGCAGCTGGAGGTGAGGGGGGGCAGCTATCCTATGGCGAAAGAGAAAATGAAGCCTCCCAGTGTCTGTTAAGTTGTCCTGCCTGCTCAGTCATGAATTTTTAGCTGCATGAGCTGACCATTTGAAGTCACTGGCAGCTGATTCTCAGTGGCAGACATATTTTGGAAAATGATTTGGGCTTTAAGTGTTTGATTGAATGCCTTAAATGACCTTGTTGCAACCCATATTATTACAGATCAGTCTCAGAAGCAAAGTTGGAAGCAGCGTGACATTGTAGTTCTGCAAAGAGGAGGTCAGGGTGTGTGTATGTTGGGCTGTGTTCCCATCCTACCAAAGGTCAATGTTGGTTTCATTAACCCTTAGACCACTAGGGCACCCGTTAGTATCTCAAAATTATGATTTAGTATCGCATACTTTAAACCTATAGATTAAAAATGTATGACTTAGATAGTCAGCGTTTAATTTTCTTTCCTGGCAGAACTGAGCTTTTATATAAACTCTGTCATTGCAAACTCATGCTGTGATTTTATAGATTTTTATGACTAATTCATTCAATTTTGATTCATAAAATCTAATTATTGACTTAGTATTTCATCATTTTGACTCACCATGATTATTCATTGATCATTTTTATCATCAGTTTTTTTGTCTTGTCCTGGCATAAATGGGCTTCCATATGTTTAAGAGGTTAAACTATGATTACAATCGTTCTCTAACGATAAACAAGTACTGTTTAATCAAACCCTTATCACAGGTGGGACGTCATATTCATCACATGCAACAGTGACATGCAGTGTGGAAGGCCGATAGGGTTCACATTGAAAATGCTGGATGTTATAAGCCTAGATTCAGGATTCACCTGGTTTTGTTCAAAGTTCGTGTGTGAACCCTGCAGGAGGGCTACGTGCAGTCACCAAGGCAAAGCTTGCTGTTAAAGCTGTGTAATAGATTACATTATTGTTGTAACTTTCCAAGTTCTCTCACACATTCTTTTTCTTCTTCTTGCATATAGTGTCTGTGCTCTGTCTTTTTCTTTGTGTCTCCATCACTGTTCTAAACTATTCTGTTTGACTGCCTCTCCCTCTGTTTATCACACACACACACACACACACACACACACACACACACACACACACATTTTCCTCTCTATTACATATGCTGCCTCTCTCACTGATGCCGTCTGTCTCCCTAAATCTCTTTCACTTTTTCAATCCGTCTAACTTCCTCTCTCTCTCTCTTTCTCTCTCTCTCTCTCTCTCTCTCTCTCTCTCTCTCTCTCTCTCTCTGAAACTTTACCCTCCCTGCTCGCCCGAACAGACAATGAGGCCAAGCTGGCCTGTCAGTAATTCTCTGGCGGCAGCTGACGAATTAGGCAGCTTTGCTTCCCAGACCTTTCCTGCGTCGCTCTGCACCTCAACACACACACACACACACACACACACACACACACACACACACACACACACACACACACACACACACACACACACACACACACACACACACACACACACACACACACACACATGCATGTACATACAGGCATACTCTCTCCTATGCTAACCTCAACAGAGGTTTCCTGCTGGATCTGTGCACCTGAACTCAAAAGTCACTGGACGTCGGGATGTTGAAGTTCAGTATGGGACAACAGTAAAAATCTTGTTTCTTCATTTCCTTTCAGCGAATGAGAAGGTGGAGGATATCAATGGCAGCCCCAGGAGCCAGTCGCAAATGGTGAGTGTTGCAGCCAAACTTTTATATCCACCCTTTAAAGCACTTTTGCATGAGAATGAATTATGTTTATGAGGAATATTTATCTGAAGTGCTGACCTTGAACTGCTCTGCTGTTGTAAGATATATTGCAGTTTTAAAATTGTAGTTGTATACTTCTTTTATACTACGTTTTACACCATCCAGATGATGCTCTTACCTATAATTATCTCATATGTGGCCTCAAATTAGACTAAAATCACTCCAGTGGTGCAAAGTAACTAAGTACATTTACTCAAGTATAGTAGAGATAGAGATACTTGTCATTTATGTAGGTGTGTACACTTTTTGCTACTTTATACTTCCACTCCTCTACCTTTCAAAGGGACATATTGCACTCCACTTGTTTGACAGCTGTCATTACTAGTTATTTAGATAATACAATAGATGTAGTTACTTTTAAAATACAATGCATTGTTTTTGGCAGGTCTGTGAGTTGTTAGCAGCTACACCAGAGAGATTTCCCCTCTAAACGTCTCAGCTGGTTTCTTTGAATTTAAAAGTTTGAAGCCCAAAGAGGTCAAATGATCCAATACCTAACAAAGAAGCAAAGATTACAGAAAAGTTCAACTTTCATTTATTCTACCCCATTATTTATCACATGACCCCCCAGATTTAACCTGTGAGCCTTTGGAGGGGTCTGCCCCCAGGTTGGGAACCACTGGACAGAGCTAGTAATTATATATAGAAGTTACAATCAGCTCCACCTTGAGCAGATACATCTTTAAAATGCTACATATGCATGAATGCATCAGTATTAACAATCCTGTTATGTATTATGTAATGATATAACTCACCCATACTGATGATACCTCTATAATATTACCTAAGTATGAGTTTGAATACATGTCATTCTTGTATTTTTGCATTACTTTTACTGAAGTAAAGGATCTGAATACTTGTCCACAACGTGCCATGCACTCTCAAGTCCAAGCTGAAATCTCCCAAAGGCAAAGTATTGACTGTGATCACAAACCATAAACGTCTTTACCATTCAGAAAGATGGTGATGACTGTAGTAACCGCATTGCCACTTGACCGAAAACAGAGCAGATCCCTGAAAAGTTTAAACCCTAACATATTTGACTTACTTTGTCGTTTTCAATCATCTGTATTTCTGGCTGCCATGCTGAGCGATGCTGGCGGTGTCATTTTCCCCTCTGTTAATGAGATGACGGGCTGTATAACCGCTGATTGTCGTCACTGTGAGATAATTACCCCTCACTTTAACTAGAGTTGACTAAGTGTTTATGCAGTGTTGGTTTGCCCTGGCATCTGCCCTCCTGCCATTAAAAGTGACTAAAGCTATTGAGCTGCTTCGGTGCACTTTCTTAGTAAGACACTGTGGGCGAGGAGTGTGTTTGGTCCTGACAGTGTGTGTCTATTTTTTGTCAGTTTTTGTGCCCTATTGTTAAAGCTGTGTTTTGTATGTGTATAGCTTACTGTACAGGATTTTTGCATTTATTGGACCATTTTTCTGTGTACCATATCCATAGTCCTAGTGTGTGTGTCAGTATTTCAATGTCAATGGATTTGATAAATTCTCTGGGGGTGTCTAAGGGAGATCATGAAACATTTCCAAAAGGGTCCTATCACTGGAATGAAACAGAATGTATTTTACAACTAGTTTCACATGTTCAGACAGCACAGTATTCAGCTGTTTTATTTTTTCCTCCATTGCGAGTCCAGCTGTAATGGAAGCAGACTGTGCACTCTACTACAAAAACAACATTTAAGAATCAGGAAGGAAAAAAACTGTGAATCCTGGGAACTAAAGTCACAGTGTGAGTTCAATGTGTCAAAATCAGTTCTGGAAAGATAAGCTCTTTTTTCTTTTTTTTGTCAGATAAAGTAGTTCAGTTCCTGGCTAGAAACAGCTGAGTCCAGACTGACGCACTGGTCACTAAGGGCGAACTGCAAGCAGCACTGCAAGCATGTGGCTCGATATGCCAGCAACCTCTGTCTGTGTGTGTGTGTGTGTGTGTGTGTGTGTGTGTGTGTGTGTGTGTGTGTGTGTGTGTGTGTGTGTGTGTGTGTGTGTGTGTGTGTGTGTGTGTGTGTGTGTGTGTGTGTGTGTGCAGCTAGCTCTTTGTCTCACTAAGCCCATTGATCCACCACCTGCTCCGACCACAGAGGGTCCGGCCAGCTTGGGAATCTGAAGTTGGAGGAAGCACGGTTGCTTATAGAGTGGGCGCAAAGGGAAGGAAACATCTGACGCACACAGACACACAGACACACATAACAGCCACAAAGATGTAGCCAGCTAGAACAACCAAATAAAAAGGTTTATACTAGGGAAAGTAAAAGGAACTGTTTGTGAAGCAGTTGCTTTAAAGACGTTTGAGACAAAAGTCATCAGCATAAAGTTTATTATGAAAACAGGTGCAGTGAACTTTAACACACAGTTTTAATGGAACTTTAATATCTGAGTTAGTTGCATATTTTTGAGAGAAGAAGACTGAAGCTAGAATCATACTTTCCACGTCCATGACGATACGCTAGGGTCTGCATAAATTTGCCATCTGATTGCCATCAGAGGCTGTACACTGACACCCACATACCTCCAATTTGTTGGTCCACAAGGGAAGCTCTTCCTGTAGACGCCAATCTATATGTGTGTCCTCCAAGCAGAATCCATAAATGAATACTGTAGAAACCAGAACTACTATGCGGCAGTGGTGTCCACAGCTGTCCTTTTGGAAGTATATTCAGATCTTAAGGGTGCTTTCACACCAAGCTGCTTGGTTTGGTTCAAACCAACTCTGGCACATTTGCCAGTTTGGTTCGGTTCGTTCCATCTAGGTTCCATGTAGTACTAATGATGCAACAAAGTTGCAAAAAATATCCTACTGGATAGTCAGTCCATAATGCTTACAGGTTTTGGTTCGTTTGTAAAAAGTCAGTTTGAACACAAACCAGAGCAGAACTAAAAGGCAATAATGTAGCTTTTTTTTAACCATAGTTGAACCACATGATCCCACTACCCTAAGAGATCTATGTGATGACACATGAACATATGGCTCTCCAAATGCAGAAGTATTTTGTTAGGCTTATTTATCCCATGGGTTTGAACACTGATATCAATCTGAAACTTTAGTTATTTACTGACAACCTTTCCCCCGTCTTGAGTACAACTAGAGCTATTTTTTAACTCTTGGCTGCGTATTGACAACACAAGCTGTGAAGTTTGGAAACCTGCCACTGGCCACCTAGCACCTGGAGTTTAAACGCCTTGGCCAGAGACATCACAGTAGCAGCAGCTGTCAATGGAGGGGCAGATGAGTCTGATTTACTTCCTCTGCACAGATTCTTCCCTATTTGGGACTTGAAATGGTGATCCTGCAGTCGCAAGCCTGTTTTCTCTAAGCGGTGGGTCGCTGCTGGTCTGGTGAGTGGACAGAGGCCAACTGAGCAGCTGCTGGAAGCCGAGGAGCAGAAACCAGAACGTCACCAGCATCTGCAAGCTTTTCAGCTAATCTACATCCATAATGCCCTCTTTTTGTTTAAACCCTTGTTCACAATGCGGGAGATCCACAAGTCAGTTGCAGAACTATCATTTCCTGCAGAGCTAATCCAACAGAAAAACTTGGCGGATATGTGGGCAGTCAGTAAGAGTAATGGCCAGCAAAACTCTGCTATGGCTTTCACAAACATCTGCCACCAGCAGCCAATTCCTTTTACTTCCTTTTTTTCGTTTTAAGTTGAAAATGCTCCATCCATCACTGGAGTGAAGTTTTTCATTTTGATACATGATCAGATCAAGCCTATGTAATCTCTGCATTTTGCTGTTCATTCACCAGCCATTCCATGCCTTCAGTTGGCGCCTGAATACTTAGTCCTTATAATTATAAGGCCAAAGGGTGTCACCCCTGACTGTGCAGAGGGCTCATGGGATAGCACAGCAAAGAACAGTAGAGTTATGAATTAATAGCCACCCTCTCCCAGTTTTCCCTCCTCTACATGCTCCAATTTGCTCTCATCAAGAACAATATGTAAAAGAGTTTGACCTTTGATCTTCTAACTGTTACAGTGTATAATAAAAGCCTGCATTTCTAGTGTGCAGGTTTTAATGCTAAAAGGTCAAACTTTGGTCTCTTGATTGCTAATGTGAATTTGAAGATTGAAATGTCACAGCTTTTAAAATGTTGTCCCATGGCTGAAAAAATGCAATAAAAAAGCATTTATAGTTCCACTTCCACTTCCTTAAACTAATTTGGTGTTGATCCTCTCTACCCAAAATCCCTTATTAGTTTTAATACTGCAGATAGATTTCCTTTCTTGATGTTTCTCCTGATAGAGCAAAAGTGCAGCAATTTACAACAAAATGGCTCTCTACTTCTGTACTGCACAGTAGTCACTTTCAGAAATGGAAGCATTTTTCTTTTGGCTTGTGAAACATTTAGATTGTTAATGCAAATGGGATTCCTCCCATTTGAGGCCTGGCGTTCCCAGTGGTTGGACTGGTCAAAATTGCGAACATGCCCGTTTTTCCCAGTAGAGCTTGCGGCTGGTGTGTTTTTGGGGAATAGTTTTGGTTGGATTTATTGGTGTAGGAACTAATGATTACTGGGAATTTGTTCCTGAAATGGGGAGCGGGGCCTGTCTACAGAAGCGTACCCTTGACCACATATTTGGTCCCGGAAGGAATCATCTGCAACCGCTGAGCAAGCCAGTAAAGATGACGAGGACGAGGAATGACAGGAGTGTGGTACGAGGGGCTTTCAAACCCAGCGGAGATTTGATTTTGGTTCTGTTTCTTTTTCCACTGCGTCTATTCTCACTGTGTCAGATCTGTGATAATAGATAAGAGTAGGGATGGAAAATTAAAATTCAATGGGTAGAGAGTGATGTGAGGCAGGTTTGGGGAAAGACGTTTAGGTTCATCAGAGGAAGAAGAGTCACGTACCCCCCAAAAAGTGTTGTTTTTGTTTGTCTTCTCCATTCAGTCACTACGGTCCTCACCCC